ACCAAGTATCTTAGTATCCATTAGCAACAGTGTTAATTCTTCAAAGAATGGCTTCATTTTACTCATTTTTCAAGTAATTCCGAATTAATCAAAAATTAAGTTTAAACTAGGATTGTTAATTATTTTTAAATAAACTTTTAAATTAATCCTTCAATTAAGTCTCATACAAAGATGCAGTCTGTATCAAGTTGTCCCATCAGTCAAATACATGTATTAGTCAAATGACATCATACTGTACATGTACAATGTATGTCTACATGCGTGTACCGTAGAGGGAGAAGTGGAAGGAATTTTTGATGGACTGACTTTTACAGCAAAAAGAGGGTGAATTTTTTTTTAGGTTTTAGACAAATTTTTAAGTTTTAGATTATTTTGTTAATGAATTTCTATTTAATATTTAATAATTTCATATAAATTTTTAGTGTTAGTTAATGTTTAGTTGTGCAGTGAATTTTAAACTGGCAATTTAACCTTGATGGGCCAAAAATAAAATGAAAGACTTTTATACAATGTACATGTTCATATAAGTGGAAGCAATCTCAAGAAATTTGGTTTTTACCACATAACTAGTAAAAAGCCAAGTAATACATTGCCAAGATACCAATTAAAGTTTTATCAAAGTTATAGGTTTTTTGAGTTGTATTATAAATTTCAACTTGAAGCTATTTTAAAAGCCAAGTGTGAAAAGTCCAAGCCCAAATGCACGTTTGGAGTTTGATGCACCATAGAGGTCTTGCTCGGGTATTCAGAGGACATCATTTTTGAAAAAGTGCATAATAGTAAAGGTTTTGTAGTCACATGTATAGTCAGATTTTTATTGTTAAATCGGCTGATTATTTCAGTTTATATAACTGCCATACAGATCCTTGTCATTTGATTGGTGCAACACGTATCATGTGACATTCATTATTTCTGCCATTCACGCTGCGTCAGGCACTATTCGACCATGTGCGGATGGTGAAAAATATACAATTGTTAAGATCATCTTTGTTTCCACAACATATTGAATTGCCTCACTCTTCAAAAGGCAACACGAGGGTTACATGCAGTGCCGATTAAAACCTGAGGAGAATAAAATTTGTTCCAAAAGTTATTGGGATTTGAACTTGTTTGAAACTGATTTAAGGATAAATCAAAATCAAAGGATCTGACAGTTATATGAAACAAGTAATGAATGCTTTTCACTTGTGCAATGGTTTGAATATTTTCATTTATTGAAAGACGAATGTTCCATTCAACTCGGCTTTGCCTCATTGAATGGAACAGTCCATCTTCCAACTCATGAAAATAGTCTTACCATTGCACTTATAAATATTCAGCATTCGTATATTATACCTAAAACAACAGCAGAGTTAAACCCCACATGTACTGATACGTCATTATCAGTATATATAAAGATATAATTTGTAACACCTGAAGATTGCCAATTTTCAGCAACAAGTTGTAAACTTTTTGATCTGAACACAGTGTGCTCATGGCTGTTCAGCCATATAAGTGTAAACACGTGTGCACACATCATGGTTCCAAGGGGTTCACTTTAAGGAATGTTAATGGATTTTTTCAACCGCTGATTTCTTTTTCTATTATCATGAAGATTGTGAAAAATATTGTAGTGAGCAATTTATAAATGTGCCATATTGCTCCTTGCAGTACCGTAAAAATTAACAACAAAACTGAAGAGCTGTTAAAACACAAACATGTACTGAGTTAATCCCTTCGGGCCGCAACGCGGATAGAGCCGCTGTAAAAATTGAGATCCTTAGCCTGCTTTTCAGCTATTATTCTTGGCCCACACTCGAGCAAACACAGTGAAAGAAGGCAGACCCTGGCTTTTGTATATATGGTAATTATCTTTGTGCATAGCCCAGAAATAAAAAGACCGAATTTGCATCATAATTACCTGCTTCACAATAGTCCCTACTTTGAAAAGAGGCAACAGGGATGTAGAAGCTTGAGTAGAGCCACATGCCACCAAACAATCAGCCTTTTCACCGTGTAATTCAAAGCGTGTAGAGCAGGCAGGGCCACAAACTGAGAATCTGCGGTTTGGCAGGTGGGCTTCGTGGCCAAGCGAGACTGGAATTCTTGAAGTCGGCTTATGGGAAGAAATTCCCGTCGTCAAGGGGTTAAAGAATATTGCAGAAGCATTGATCAAACTACCTGTATGCAAAAGTTGTCATTTTGCACTTCAGAGTCAAAGCTGTTAGTGGTAGACAAAACTCAATTGCTTCTTAAATAATGCTATTAAAGAAGTTGGATTAAATAGCAAATCAATCATCGTAACTGGCTTTAAGGCAATGCACTAGAAGATTGGTGATGTGATGATGCATATGTACATTGGATATTTGGGCAGAGGACTAGAGAAAGAATTGACTTTGGTAGCAGGGAAGCTCCTGGCTTCTTCAGTGAGTGGTCGTCCCTGTCAACGGCATGCCCCAGGTCCAACTGACCCGGTTGGTAGTACCTGGTAAGGGTCCCTACATGTAACTCTGGGTTACGAGTGAAGTGTCCAATGTACATGTACCTCAAAGCTACAGTAGCTGGCAAATGGATGCATAATACAAGATGATGAATATGACAAACATCTGTACTGATTGGCGGAGTTCAATATGCTCTACTTGCTGCATGAAGACTTGATGCTCAATGTTGCATGAAGCTGTGCTTTTTTCTGAATGAGGTGAAGGTGGAAGGCAGTCTTACTGTGCTTGCAGTCTTACTGTGCTTGCACTGCAGGGGCTGTGGCCGCTAAAGGATTCTGCAGCAGGATTTGCCATGAACACCACTACCTTGAATGCAGCAGAGATATGAGCCTGTTTTCACTCCAAACATTATTTGTCTGCTCCAGTGAACTGGAACTCAACACAGATAGGTCTGTGGACAGCAATGAAATTTGAACCAATGGTGATGATTGTTACCGGTAGTTCAAAAGTGCAGAGAACTTCACCGAGTCTTGAACGACAGAGTGGCAGATGGAATACATGTACATGTATATGCCCATCAACCACATCCACTTGCCTGCAGTAACATCAATTGTTACCTTGTACATATGCATCTCTTTCTTGACACAAGAACTCAAGAATTTCACCACCTGTAAAATTTTCTTTAAAGCTGCCCCTTTTTTTCAGAAAGAATGCTTATTTCATGCATAAATCTTAATGGAAAACGTACTTCCTAAGTTGAATGCATATGCCTTTTCCCAGCTTACCCTTTGTTATTTGTATGGTGTTTGAACTTACAAAGTGATAAGAATATCTTCTGTGGTATTTAGAACCACGCATCGTTTTTAAGTTCTAACTTGATAAATGGTTACTGGTTTGTTCATTTTAACAACAGTTATTCTTGTGTGGAGGAAGATTTTACCGGTAGGTGCCTGATCCTTGGAACAGCCCAACATCAGGGTGACATTGGGGTATCAAACTCCAGCTGTCGGTGAAGGCATGTACCCCTTTGGCTTGAGAGGTGTGCAGCATGTGTACATGTATGTCATGGAATGTGTAATTTGTCTCATGTACATATGCATATGTGCTTGGATTAAAGTTCAATTTTGTTTGATAATAAGCCTTAAAGGGTCCATGCAGTGCAATTGATTTCATCACAAT